GCACAGCTGACAGGCAATATCAGTGGCACATTTCTCTGGTCTACTAGAGGGCACAGTTGAACAATAATAGCTACAGGGCACAGCTGTATAATAACTGCTTTGAGAAGTGACTAATCTAAGTGAGACCCAGGTAGCATCTGTGGCATACAGAAGTCTCTGTCACACAGGTGGTCAGCTGCATTATGAATTCTGAATTTGTCAAGTAATTGCTAATTAAATCTTTGCACAAGGCAAACCAATAGACTTGACACAAAAACCACAAAGATAACACCTAAGAACTTGGCTTATACTGGTAGAATAGTGTTTTTATTAGTCATAAGCTCTGCCTAGCAAAAAGAAAGATTTTACATCAGTGGAAGGAATGTGCCTGATGCAGGACAGACAGGATGTCACAGCTTTTACAGTCTATGCTTGTAAGACAAGAGTGATATGGTAGAACCCAGCAACTCTGATAGGGCAGGATTGAAATATCAGCCCTGCAGTTGCTTGAGAGTCTTATATTTGTAGGTAGTACAAGAGCTGGATTCATGAAGAAACTACCAGAGTTTATTTCTGGGTGTTTACCAGCACATAATAAAAGCCACATGGATAAGGTTGCTATATAAAATACAGGACACCCAGTTACATTTGAATTTCAGATAAAAAGTGAATGCTTTTTTAGTATAAGTCTGTCCCATGCAATATTTGAAACATAATGAAAAACTATTTTTCATTTATCTAAAATTCAAATTGAACTTGGCATCTTGCATTTTTACTTTTTAAATTTGGCCACCCTACACATGGGACAGTCCATGAGATGTGAGAAGGAATGGAAATTAGAGATCAGTGACTAGTGAAAGGAGATGAGATTCTGAGACATCAGGGCATGAAAACAACTAGCTGGGAAAATCTGATTAATTCTTTTGGAATGTTTCTTTAGTCAGAAGTTATTGTTAATGGATCAACCACATACTTGTTGTGGAGTACTTCAAAGGTATCATGCAACACCTGAGAACATCATTCCCTGGATACTAAAAAGTAAACATAGGCTGCTGGGAGATCGGAACTCTCATGCACTGCTGGTGGGAATGTAAAATGATACAACCATTTTGGAAAATGATATGGCGCTTCCTTAGAAAGCTAGAAATAGAAATACCATACAATCCAGCAATCCCACTCCAAGGAATATATCCTAGAGAAATAAGAGTCATCACTTGAATAGACATATGCACACCCATGTTCATGGCAGCATTGTTCAAAATAGAAAAAAGATGGATACAACCTAGATGCCCATCAACAGATGAATGGATAAACAAACT